GAAGGGCCGCGCATCACGGGGCAGAGCACCCCCAGAAAGATACCTTACACGCCCCCTTTGTTTCCCGTCGCAGCATCTACATGTTTCGATGCAGTGCCTGTTAGAGCGCGTGCGTGCCTTTCGCATCACGAGGGATCGGGAGGGGGGGAAAAAGGAAGAGGACGTGGCCATCCTCTCCCTACTCCCGCATTCTCCCTCCCTCGACCACCTTCACCTCCTCCAGCTGGTCAAAACCATGAGCCCTCCTTTATTCATCGACCACCTCCCTAGAGCCATGTGGGCTCAGGGTGCAGCGTGTTTGCAGCAAGGCCAGGGCGCGCGCGTGTTGGGTGCAGGATGGCAGAGATGTTTCCAGCGATGCTCGACGGTACCTCGGGCACGGAGACCAGGGAAGGGCTCCAGGACTCCTTTTCCTCCTCCTCCTCCTCCTCCTCCTCCTCCTCCTCCTCGCTATCTTCGTCGCCTCCGCCGTCGCCCTCCCCACCCTTCCTCGCCCTCGCCCCTGTCCTCGTGGCGCGTAGTTTCTTAGGAGGCTATGCATTCGGGAAACGAGGTTTTCGCGGACACCCATTCTCCTCCTAAATTCCTCCTTCTCTTCTCCTTACCTCAACGCGCGCAGGCCCGGGGGGTGGTGCCGCGCGTCTCGCGGTCCCCTGGTTGGGGTTTTGATCGTCCCCACGCCGCCGAGATCAGCGCCCGCCGTCGGCGCAACCAAGCAACCCTGTGACGCTCAGGTGCCGCCCGCTCGCTCAGAGTGGCGTGGAGCCAGCACTTTCGGGTTGCGGTGTACGGTCGGCTCCCTCGTCTGGGGTCTGCGCCAGCGCACCGCACGCCCAGGTGTGCCCAGCAACCCTGTGACGCTCAGGTGCCGCCCGCTCGCTCAGGGCGGCGTGGAGCTAGCACTTCCGGGTGCCCGCGTTTCAGTCGGCCCGCGCTGGAGCAAGCCAGCATTTTCGGGTGGCGGTGCACGGTCGGATTCCTCGTCTGGGGGTCTGCGCCGGCGCACTGCGCATCCAGATGTCCCGAGCAACCCTGTGACGCTCAGGTGCCGCCCGCTCGCTCAGAGCGGCGTTGGAGCTAGCACTTTTGGGTGGCGGTGCATGGTCGGCTCCCTCGTCTGGGGGCCTGTGCGGACGCACTGCGCACTCAGATGTGCCCCGCAACCCTGTGACGCTCAGGTGCCGCCCGCTCGCTCAGAGCGGCGCGGAGCAGGCACTTTCGGGTTGCGGTGTGCGGTCGGCTCCCTCGTCTGGGGGTCTGCGCCAGCGCACCGCGCGCCCAGATGTGCCCAGCAGCCCTGTGACGCTCAGGTGCCGCCCGCTCGCTCAGAGCGGCGTGGAGCTAGGTGGCATTTTCGGTTGGCGGTGCACGGTCGGATTCCTCGTCTGGGGTCTGCGCCCGCGCTGCGCATCCAGATGTCCCGAGCAACCCGCCCGCTCGCTCAGAGCGGCGTTGGAGCTAGCACTTTTGGGTGGCGGTGTATGGTCGGCTCCCTCGTCTGGGGGCTTGTGCGGACGCACTGCGCACTCAGATGTGCCCCGCAACCCTGTTGCGCTCAGGTGCCGCCCGCTCGCTCAGAGCGGCGCGGAGCAGGCGCTTTCGGGTTGCGGTGTACGGTCGGCTCCCTCGTCTGGGGGTCTGCGCCAGCGCACCGCGCACCCAGATGTGCCCAGCAACCCTGTGACGCTCAGGTGCCGCCCGCTCGCTCAGAGCGGCGTGGAGCCAGCTTTAACCCCCCGCCTGCACACAACGGGGGCGGGTGCGTTTGCCCGCCCCCGACCGACCCCGATACCCTGCGTCCAATGGCGCACGTGGTCTAAAGTCCATGCTGACGCCTTTTCACTAGCGTACTCAGAATTAAATTCTGGTGCGGCTCGTGGAAATCTGGCCCAGGAGGCTAGAAATCGATGCAGATTCCGGCGGAAATTTATCCATGTCGGATTTCGCAAATCGGCCGTCCAGGTCGGATGTTTTCTCAAGACTGGCTCTAATCAGCCATTCTGCTGAGCTGCAGTCCACCGCCGAGGGCTGCAAGTAGCGGGGAACGTGCGTAAGCCTTCCCGCGAACCGTCCAGGAGGACAGCATCGCCCAAAACGGGCGCTCTACCATCCATCAATCAGTTACCCTCCATCCTTTCTCGTTGACTCGACAGCGAATGTGTGGGCGCAGCTGTGGCCGTGAACTGGAATAATAAAGATTCCAGACATGTCGTGGCAGACGCCGCGTGCCCGCCGATTGATGTGGGTGCAGCCGCAGCTGCAAATTCTGAGCGGAGATGCTCAGTCTGATGGTGGGGTTTCCCTGTTGTCTGTACTGCCGCGCCCCTATGACGCCCTCTGCTGGCCTGGATGGTACATTCAGGTCGCAGCGGGGGATAGGGGGCGGAAGGGTTCTTCTGCTCTTTCCATAAACAGCAACTCGCCTCCAGCGCCGGTCACGTGTCGTGCGCCGCGGGCGCTCAGCCATTTCTGGCTAGTGCTTGCACATGAAGATATTCAATCGGAAGGACTGGCCATTGCTGGAGATCATCGGGTCATATGCAACATCCTGCCAGTGGCCACAGCATGTGCAGCACAGGGGATCCGTAAGCATTTGGGTTCGAGATAAGCTTCTGTCGCCCCCATGAGCGATAGGTTGGCGCATCTGCAAGCCGAGGTGCGCCAGGCAAATCTATCTCTGACGTGGTGGGATGGCATTCGCGGTCTCACTCTACGGCTAGACAAACTACGTGAGCTTGGGGCGCGGCCCGACTTATTGGACAAATGGCGGAATGGTCAAGCCTTGGGGGCTCAGCCAGCTGCGCCAAGGCATGTTCCCAACCACCCGTCGCTTGCTCAGAATGATTCGTGGGCGTTGGCCGAGTGGAACAGATTAGAGCAACTCGGAAAAGTCTTCCTATTCCCGCGCGGACAGCGCCCACCAAGTCTCAACATCAATCCTTGTGCCCTCCTGCTCAAGCCCAGGGAGGGTGTGGACAGCTCGCTCCCAGAAGAGGATCGATGGAAAGCACGTCTGATTTTGGATCTGCGGCGAGGTCGTGTGAATGAGCGGCTCCCGGAAGTTGGCGTTGCATACGGGACTTTGGACATGGCTGTGTCGCGCCTCCAGCACGGCAGCTTTATGTTCGTCATCGACCTCCAGGATTGTTTCTTCAACTGGAGGGTCGACCCTGTCGACGCCGACCTCTTAGGATTTTATTGTCCAGCTCGCCGCCAATACGGCCGGTATGAATATCTGCCTTTCGGACTCGCTCCAGCTCCCGGCATGAACGATACCAGTATTAAGGAACTATTGCGTCTTCTTCGGTCCTCTCGCGAAGTGGACCTTCTTGATTTCGTGGACGACATGTTCGGAGAGGGACTCACTGAAGAAATCGCATGGAACCGTTTGGAGTTGGCTGTGGATTTTTTCGCTGAAGTCGGCGTCCCTGTCAGCAGCAAGCCTACGGGAATCCGGCCTCCGTGCACGCGTCAGTGCTGGATCGGATGGATATTCGATTCCATCAATGCGGTGGTTACGGTATCTCAGGACAAATGTGATAAGACATGCAAAGGGCATCGCGGCTGTCTTGGAGCGCGACGATGCTCGCGAGCTCCGGGCCAAAGAGTTGTCGTCTGCGGCTGGTCTGGCTTCTCACTTGGGCGAGTTATATCCACAGGCAAGGCGTCGTCTACACCCTGTCTGGGCTGATCTCAACGCTGCAGGCGTGTACGCGCTGTGGAGTCGCAGTCCTCAAGCTAATCCAGTGGTCCAGCTCTCTGAACTCAGCCGCAAAAACTTGGTGTGGAGTCTCCAAGCTCTGGCGTCTCCACCAAGGCGGGTGCTTCGCAATCTGGCCGGGCAGCTCAGCAACTGGGGCCACAAGTCGCCAGAATACGGCCGTTGGTCTCAGCTTGCCCAGGAAGGCTCCATTCGCGTGGTCGAAGCCGACGCGGCTGGACTGACAGGCTGGTCATATCACTTATGTCATTCGGGCGTCTCTGTGTCAGGTCTGTGGCCAAGTACATTGGCTGTGGACGAAGGCATACCGCTTGAAAAGATCGACATAAACTTTAAAGAGCTCTGGGTGATTGTGAAGTGCATCGAAGATCAGCCCGCCGCATTTGCAGGCTGGCGCGTCTTGTTCCGTACCGACAATACATGCGCAGTTCATTACACAAACGTGAGATATGGAGCCATCCCAACGTTGGAAAAGTTAGCAGCGAAACTGGAATCTGCTGAGCGGCGGGCCTCCTGCTGGGCTCTCGCGGCGCACATCAGCGGCGCAGCCAACAGAGCTGCGGATTTGGGCTCCCGGGATATGCAGTTCTCAGCGCGATGGAATTCCGACCCTTTTCGTACAGCATGTGTTAGGCCGCGAATTTTTGATGATATCGTGTCGCGGACGGGCGTGTGTTTCACACTGGATTTGTTTGCAGATCGTGCAGGCCTTACATCAAAGGCCCCGATTTGGCATTCGCCAGAAAATTCGGCATTCGAGGCAACTCTGGCTGGAGAGACGGTCTGGGCACACCCGCCGAGAGAGCTTCTCAGAGCAACGCTAGAGTTTCTCAACCACGCCCTCCAAGCACCGGAGGCGCCCAAGATTGTTCTCCTGTGCCCCGAGGATAGAGGCGCCCCGTGGTTCCGACCACAGCTGCTTCAGGCATGGCACCGGATTCGGTCGTGGCCTGCCGGCTCGGACCTTTTCAGGTACCCTTCGGGCTCTGCGTTCTGCAGCGGCCCGAAGACTGACTTGCCTTACTTGCTACTGCAGAGCTGGGAGCCAAACAGGCGCAAACGCAAGCGCGAGGAAAATGAACGCACATCCATTAGTGTGTCTTCGGGTTCTGCTTGTGACACATGAGACGTGCGTTTGTGGGCGCTGACGGCGTCAGTTCTTTGCCTGCGTTCCCCAACTTAGCCCTCTTCGGCCGCGGCCGTTTCAGGTTCCCTCTAGTGATAACAATTGCAACGCAACGACCTGTTTTCGTTCTGTCCTAGTGTTTCCCACGGCACAATGGCGGAAGCAGCGGCGCAGGCAGCCATCGCTGCCGCCCTCGAGCCGACGGGCGCCATCATGACAGCGATCACTGCCGAGATCACGAAGGCGTTCAATCAAGGGGAGGTCGGCGATCTCGCCATCACAGCCGGCGCCGCTGCTGCTGCCAACGCGCACTCGGTGCCCGCTGTGGTTACGGCTCTCAAGGACCCGGCTTCTGAACTGAGCAAAGCTGTGCAGGCCGAGTGCGAGCGGCGGGCGGACGCGGCCTTTCCGTACAGGGCCCGTCTGCGCCAGCTTTCGGTCGCCGAGTGGGAAGCTGCTTGGCGCGACCTCGTGGTGGATGCGGACCACCTCGCGTCCACCTTGAAAGCTGCCGAGCAGAATCCCGCGCTTGCTAACATCTGGGCGCTGTCCGCCGCCAACCCAGGCAACGCCGAGTTGGCCGAGCTCAAGCGGGCTTCCACGGTGCGCTATGCCGCCAAGTTGCGGTGGAAAAGCTTGTGTTTCCCGGAGCAAGGCGGCTCTTGGGACCGGTTGAAGAACTACCTTACGGAGAAAGCGGATGCTCCGATCGACAATGTGAAGGCGCTCGCCCGGTCGCTCCTTGTCCTCCTCAACTTGACGGAGCGCCGCTGCACAGTCGCGCAGTCGGCCAAGCGCACGGGCCCAGAGAAAGCGGCTTCTCAAAAGACCGCTCTTCTCCCATTGATGTACCATACGATCAAGCAGTGCAAGAAGCGCACCACGAAGGCCAGCGCATCAGTGTCCCTGGAGCACGAGATCCTGCTGCGCGATTTCGCCCAGGACCTCATCTCGGGCGAGGCGGCGCTCGTGACTAGCCTGGCTACCAAAAGGTCCTTCGACATCTCGGAGCTGTCGTCCGGCCAGGGGCTGTTCGAGGAAGAGGGCCAGCCAGCGGCGAAAGCCCAGCGTTCCTCAGGTGCTGGCCCTGGTGGCTCCTCCCCGGCAGGCGGCGGTGCTGCCAAAGACGCCGCCAAAGACCGGAAGCAGTTAGTTGGTCAGCCACCTCCTCAACGAGTTGTCGGCGCTGATCCCCAACAACCCCCCCAAGAAGCTCCAAGCGTGGATCGACAGGCAGTACCAAGTCGATGATGCTCACCGCAGCGCTATGATGACGATCTTCAGCAATCACGTGTGTAAAAACTGTTTGATGGCAGGCAAAGGCATCGTGAAGCACACCCTGAGGAAGTGCCGCGAGCTCAAGAACCCGTGCCTCCTCCCGTGCACCAAGTGCACGGGCGCGGGAAGGACCACCAACGTCGTGCATTGGATGGCAGATTGCAAGTGCTAGAGTGAGGTCCCAGCACCGCGTAGCTCGGGGCGGAAATTTGGAACCCCAAGGTTCGTCCCGTTCTAGCTTTTCTGACTCACGGTAGCCATCCAGCTCAGGGATACGCCCCCAGCATCTTTCATATTTCTTCCGTGCACGGCCTCTCGTGTACGTAACCTTTGCGAAATGCAGCTCCATATTGCATCTCGTACGCCACTCTGTTGCGACCGAGAGCGTGCCGAGATTTGTGAAACATTGCCTCTATGGGGTGTCCGCTCACGTGTGCCGCTTCGTTCCCTCGTGAACGAGCTATTTATATCGCTTCTCCGTAGCCAGGGAGGCTCGAGTTATGGAAGACCACGTTCACAGGAATGATTTCGCAGACAATGTTCCCGTGGGCTCTTCCGCCGCTCGACAGCTGATCCTGGCGCCCGTGGCTGTTGTGCGCGCGCCGGCGTCCCCTCGGCAGGGCGCGCGCCCGGAAGCGGTCGCCCTGGTGCACGCCGAGCCCCCTGACCCGCCGTTGCCTTCGCGGCGGCAAGCGGGAGTTAGCAGCGGCGGCGGCGGCTCGCAGACGCTCCTGGGTTTCATCGCCAACAGCAGGGCCGCACAGGGCGGTTCTCTTGTCCCACCGGACAGCCATGGCGATCGAAGGCTTCAGGGGCCTCAGCTGGAATTACCTTTTCTGGCAGAGGACTGCGCCCCGGCCACGCTCGTGGCGCGCCAAACAGCTGCTGCGTGCGTACGCGAATGCTTGGAAGCCGCTTGGGAACAGAGCACAAGGGTTCGCTACGACGCTACACTGCGGGGTCTGGTGAGCACGCGGGAGTTGGACACCAAGTTGCCGTTGCTCCCCTGCGATTCGGACGAGAAACTGATGCTCATCTTCTCGGCGCTCGTGCGGCAGCCCTGGGGCTCCGTCGCCGCAGCAAAAGCAGGCGTCCGAGCATGGCATATCGAAAGAGATCTTTTGCATACTTTCGAGCGGGCGTGGACGCCTCGGGCATGGCAGTTCTGGCGCGGATTGAAAAAGCTTGCAGACCATTCTTTGCGCCGTGCTAAGCGGCCAATCTCTCTTGCAGAGTTGGGGGTAGTACAGCGCAAGCGTCTCGCACAGGTCTCTCCTGCAGGCATCCGGGACGCTGCTATGGCGGGGTTCGCCTTCTTTGGTATACGGCGTTTCGCAGAAGTCCAGGCACTTCAGCTCGAAGACATCGAAGATCAAGGCACGGCAATACAATGCCGGATCCGGCGCCAGAAAAACGACCCCTTCGGCGAGGGCTTGCTCGTCTGGATCCCCGAGCTACCGCCGCTCGGGCCCCTGTGCCCTGCGAAGCTGTTCCGGGCTTGGGTGTCCCAGGGCGGCGCTGCGGCAGGAGGACACCGGCGTGCTGTTTTGTGTCACAGGCATAGCGGCCTTGAAACCAATCTCTGCGGACTCATTCAGGCGCATGCTGTCCCGCCACATGCGCGATTCGCAGATCGGCACGCACAGCCTGCGCAAGGGCGGCGCCCAGTGGTGGAAACACGCCGCTTCTCTGCCGGAGGAACTCGTGCAGGGCCAGGGCGGCTGGGCATCTCTGGACGTGATGCGGAATTGTTATACAAAATTCTCCGCACACGCTCGGAAGCAGCGCCTCCTGGAGGCAGCGCAGGCCGCGTGTTCAGCCACGCCTCGGCCGGCAGACAGCTTGCCTAATCTGAGCAGGCTCCCGGTTTGGCAGCGCCCGTTATAGAGAACTGCCTTGATCGATCAGGACTGTAGAGGAAAATCTCCTGTCGAACTCCCGGCAGGTCAGGTGACCATATCTGCGTCGCGCTTCGCGCTTGCACTGTGCACTGTGGGCCTCGTATGGGTTGGTGGCCGCCCCTCGTCGGGTGCGCCGCCGTGGCCTGCGACAGACGCAGCACTCCCGACGAGCCACGGCCAGTGGCAAGCGGATTTCCCTTACGCACGCTTCGCGTCGCCCTGTCTGTGTTCCAGGGGTTTCGGGGGTTCGGTGGTCCCCGGGGCTCCACGAAAGCTGCCAAGGGATTGTGGTGTGAAGCGGAAAGCGTAGTTTCTTAGGAGGCTATGCATTCGGGAAACGAGGTTTTCGCGGACACCCATTCTCCTCCTAAATTCCTCCTTCTCTTCTCCTTACCTCAACGCGCGCAGGCCCGGGGGGTGGTGCCGCGCGTCTCGCGGTCCCTCCCGCCCGCCCTGTGTGGCGTGTCGTGCTGGTCGCAATCCGTCTCCCTTCGGGGGGTTGGTGGCCGCCCCTCGTCGGGTGCGCCGCCGTGGCCTGCGACAGACGCAGCACTCCCGGCGAGCCACGGCCAGTGGCAAGCGGATTTCCCTTACGCACGCTTCGCGTCGCCCTGTCTGTGTTCCAGGGGTTTCGGGGGTTCGGTGGTCCCCGGGGCTCCACGAAAGCTGCCAAGGGATTGTGGTGTGAAGCGGAAACCTCGTCGCTGTCGCCCTCGTCGTTGCCGCCGCCGCCGCCGTCGTGGTCGTCGTCGCCGTCGCCGTCGCCGTCGCCGTCGCCGTCGCCGTCGCCGTCGCCGTCGCCGTCGCCGTCGCCGTCGTCGTCGTCGTCGTCGTCGTCGTCGTCGTCGTCGTCGTCGTCGTCGTCGTGGTCGTGGTCGTGGTCGTCGCGGAAGCCGTAGTCGTGGTCGTGGTCGTGGTCGTGGTCGTCTTCGTCGTCGTCATCGTCGTCGTCGTCGGCGGCGCAATCGGTGCCCATCCGTTGGGCGTCGCACTCCCCCCCGGCACCTTCGCAAGGGCATCCTCGAGCACGCCGCGCTGCTGGCTCTGCTCGCGCAGGCCCTCCCGCGTGGCCTCGAGCTCGCCGCGCGCCTCGCGCGGGCTTGCCCGCAATTCTCGGAATCTTCGTCGTCGTCCTGCTCCTCCGCGTCCCCGTCCTTGCCGTCGTCCTCGGCCCCGTCGTCGTCGTTGTCCTCCTCCTCCTCCTCTTCCTCCTCCCCCTGCCCCGTCACTCTCCTCCTTCTCCACCTCCGCTCTCCTTCCCCTCTTCCCTCCTCCTCATCCTCGTCTTCTTCGTATTCGTACCATTAATGTTCTTCTTCTCAGTCGTAATAGTGTTCTTATTATTGGTAGTACTCGTCCTATACTTATTCGTTTCAATATTGTTCTTATCATTCATATGGTTACGTGTAGCATTTGTATGATCATTCGCCGTGCATTGATACAACATTTATCATTCGAATTACTTGTATTGCCATTATTCTTATTAGTATTAGTATTCTTAATAGTGTAATAATATTAGTAATCGTATTAATATTATTATTATTAGTATGATTTTCCTCCTCCTCCGTCTCCTCCTCCTTCCGCCACACAGCACCTCCCCCTCCTACCCTCTCTCCACCCCCCTCCTCGCTTTCCTCCTCCTCCTCCTCCTCTTTCTCTGGCTTCTCCTCCTCCTCCTCCTCCTCCTCATCCTCCTCCTCCTCCTCCTACTCCTCCCCCTCCTCCTCCCACTTCTCTTCAATGCTTCCGCTGCCTGGCCCCCTCGATCTCCGAGGAGGAGGAGGAGGAGGAGGAGGAGGAGGAGGAGGAGGAGGAGGAGGATCACAAGGACCACGAGGACCGCGACGGTGATGACACCCGACAGCTTGTGGAGCTCCCTCTGGGCGCCTCCGGAACTCCCTACTGCGGCCTCCAGGTGCGCAAGCAGGGCGCACAACATCAGCGACACCCTCGCCGATCTTCGAGTCCGAGTCTGGGACAGAAAGGCCAAGGACGTCCCACAAGTCTCGAGCGCCGGGCCTCGAGGGCCGTGATCCTCAGAGGAGGCCGGCGAGAGGCGGAAGGCCGGGGCCTTTGCGAGGGCCTCCTCCAGCTCGCCGCGCTCCCGGCCCTCCCGGCGCAAGCTTTCCTGCCCAACCTCGAGCTCCGCGCGCGCCTCCCGCGGCTCGCCGGGCACTCGTCGTCGTCGTCGTCGTCGCCGTCGGCCTCGTCGTCGACCTCGTCGACCTCGTTCTCGTCGTCGTCGACCTCGTCGTTTTTATCGTCTCGCTTCCCCTCCTGCATCACTTTTCCTTAGACGCAACTCCTCCCTGTCGCATTTCCAAACGTGTCGGTAGAGCTGGCTGGGCGTTTCGCCTGAGACTTCCTCACATTGATGGTTCCGAAGTTTAGAATTCCCTACGCATTAAAGGATGAAGAGGCCGGTTTTCAAAATGTGGTTTTCGCCTTAGCACTGCGAGTACTCGTGGTAAAACATTGCAGCAACGTCAAGAATGGTGGGGGGCGTTTTCAAAATAGGGTTTTTGTCGTAGCGCAGCGCGCACTGATCGTACACATGCGCAACCAATTTGAACGTAGAAGTCGGCTCGTTTTCAAAATGTGGCTCTCGCTTCAGCGTTGCACACACCCATGTGAACGCTTTCGACAGTTTCAAAGATGGGGGGCGCTTCTTTTCCAAAGTGTCGCTCTAGCCTCAGCGCCGCACACACTCGTCTATGCTTTTGCAACTGTTCGAATGGTTTGTAAGTGTTTGAATGAATGGTGGATGGTGGGGTCGGGGTCGTATTCAAATTGTGTTGTTTTGCCTTAGCGCCGCGCGCATTCCTTACAACATCACGTGTAGCTTGAAGGGTGTGTGGGGGACAATTTTCAAAACGTGACTCTCGCATCAGCGCCGCGCGCATTCGTTTTACAAGCTTGCAGCAGTTTCGGGGATGGGAGAGGGAGCGTCTTCAAAATGGCGCTTCGCCTCAACGCCCCGCACATTCGTTTCAACATTCCGTAATAGCTTCACGGATGGAGGGCACCTCCGTGCGTTTCACCTAAGCACCGCGCGCTTTCGCTTCAGGCTCTTGCAACCGCTTCAGGTCTTGAGCACCGGTCGTTTTCAAGGTTTTCTTCTGGGCGACGGAGACGACTGAAGATTTTCAGGGTAGGGTTATCGCTGGACTTTCCGTTCATTTTGAGACCCGGACTTCAAAACATGTTGCGCTGCACGGATCCAGGGCGCCTCATCTCTTGACTGGGGCTGTCGCTTGAAGCTTCCTCGATG